TTCCGTGAATCTTGCGTAATACAGTATGCTAGGTTTGGCGTCTCTCAATGTCTGCTCGATGTTTTGCGTGTGACCTTGGTCTTCGCACATCTTACAGAAGGCGAAGTTTTTATCCTCACATCCGTTGCAATACATAATTTGAACAGTACTGTGAGTTAAGGGCACACATTGTGCAGTTATTTACATTCGTACTCTTATACTTATAAAATTGTTCGAAAAACCATAATAAACAGTTACTCACATTAATATTTGAACACTGCAGTATTTTTGTATTTGGTTGACAGATGATAATAACAAATAATTAGTTTATCATCTGTCAATAGTTGTTATTAACTTAAACCAAGTAAATCGAATTTGTTCAATACTTGTATTCGTTATTCCAAATGAATAAGGAATAAAATACCGAAAATTGTTGTCGTCGCTTGTTACAAAGTTGTAAAACAACAAATTCGCACATTTTTAAGGAAAAGTGACTGTATTTATGAGGAAAGATTTTAAATCTAACAATTAACAAATGTATTAATACCTGCCTACTTTGAATGCACAAGGTACGTAAAAATAATTAAATCAGACTCACTTATTGTTTAAATATAATTCTGCTTCGGTGAAAATGTGTCCTCGTGACTGGGTTATTTCACCGGTCTTGACCTTTTTTACTTTACAATAGTGTTTTTATACATATAAAATGTTCCCAAGAATCGACTAATGTAAAAAGAATGCAATTTTTTTCGTGATAAGAAGGCAAAAGGACAACACATTAATTACAGTAATATGTATTCCTCTGAAAATCAAACAACTTCATTAGGTAGGATAATAATTAAATGTGTGTTCAGATATTCATAAATTTATGTTACCAAAAATGAAACTTTAAATGTAAATTTTATTTTTGACCTTCAGTTTATTTTTACAAGTAGATTCTTTACGTTGTCAATGATAAAATTTCAACTAATAGCAGCGTCTTCATTTTTTGTCAAATGTTGTTAATAGAACTTAACGCCATCTTACCCGTTCAGATTAAACTGTTTTTCGTCTGAAAGGATTACGTATTTCCGTTCTTCGCTCCAAGTAATGTGATTTTGAGTGAAAATGAACTTTGCTTCTTTATGGTGTTGCATTAATGGCCGTTTCAAAATATTTTCTGTGTTCATAATGTATTTCTTACTTCGACAAATTTGTTCTATTTGCATTTTTTTAACAGAGAAATTTAAATCTGCTTGTATTTGACTCGCTAGTACATAATTATTTGTTACAGCTTAGAAAATTAACGAGTGTTTTTTCGCGGCAGTTTCTTATTTTCATCCCTGGGACGATTGTTTTTACATGAGTCACGTAATCGAATAAGGCTATTAATCACATGGAATAATCTTTCTATTTTTTAGGTTTTCTGTTAGAAAGTCCTTCATTTTTATATAAGCAGTTATTTTTATGGATTTCTTCTTATTTATTAATTTCCCTTTTAGCATATTTCAAATAAACTAATTTAATTTTAAAGTATAATGCATCACATTACCAGTTAAGTAATAACTTTAATAAGTAATTATTTTATATTTATAGTGGAATGTTGAATTTTCACATAAATGAAAATGGCAAAAATAAATGCAAAGAGAAGCCGGTAATGTATCAAGAAGTCGGTAATTAAGTATGTTCATTTATCGATTATTTATATGATACCGCTCGATTTTAATTAGATCCTCACATGTTAATAAAATAATATCTATTATATATAGTTCTTCTTTATTGTTTCCCTGTGATTACGATATTTCTCACGCGTATAAAAGATCTTGTGTGTTATTTTAAGAGGTCCTTTCTAGTTATTTTCTTTGTATAATAAATTCATTTAGTGTTTAAAAGTCATTGTGTTTATTGTGTTATCCTAAATTTAATAATCTCCAATATTTCATCATAAAACCATACCCTATTTCCATAATGGAACTACGAAAATTTCGCTGACAGTATACAGGTTAACTTGTTAATAAATTTTATATTTTTAACTTTATATCAAAACCTATTTTATTCTTCATTTCATTTTTTATTTGAACGCCCTCTCTTCCAACGAATCCTTTTCTTTTTTTTACTTCCCGCAATATTTAAATATTGAAATTGCTATTTTGATAATGTGTTAAGTATATATAGAATTTGTATAATGAAATGTATAATAAAATGCCTTCAGAAGTTTAGTTATAATTATAACTATGTGTTCCGTAGCACGTTCGGAACATGCAACCATTGAACAAAACTATTAGCCTAGTGAAGTTATTCATTCATTATCGAATCACTTGCTAGTAAATAAAAATTTGTAAAGTTCTAATTTATGGTCAAAGTTAAACCTAAATTCAAATAGAAATCAAATCAAATATGAATTTTATTTAAAGAACTCTTCATAGAGATTTAATATACACGTGAAGAGAGCAGTGGCAACTCCATCTTCAAGTATGTGCCTAAATTCGAATTAAGGGACTAATTTGAAGACATAATAAAGGTCATTTAAACTTCTTAATTTCTGTGAGAAACTGTGATCACATAAAGCGGTTTATTTTATGCTTCCTAAATACTGGTTCCTTTTTGTATATTCATTCTTTCATTTACAATTGTAAGAATTTCTGTAATCATTTCATTTAATCTTCCAATTTTTTATACTTGAAAAAATACTCTTTTAACATTTTGAGACCTTATAGTATATTTGTGTAACAATATTGATCTCTTAGAGACTGATAGATTTGTTCACTTGTAAAACGATATAAATATGTAACACGTAATTTTTTAATGTATCTTTTTACTGCATCTCAAAGACTGATGATAGCAAATACATACCTCAACCGTTTTCATATCAAATTACCCAGTAGAATCTTTGATTATATCTACTTATATTATTTTATAAAAGTTGTGATACAGGAATATTATAAATTTTTCTCCAGACAGTCGGAAAAAAATCACGCTTTGCCATGTTAATGGAGATATAGATATATTTTATGGAATCTGCAACTCTTGTGGTTTCATATTTATTATTATATTTGACAGGAGATTATTAATACAACTTTGTTTAAAACTGATATTTAGCGTAAGTTGTAATATTACTTTAAATTTTAATTAGTAAACTGTTGATACAGAAGATAAAAATACGTTAGAAAAAGCACATCCAAATTACTAACGGACGTATTCTTTTCGAAACTTTATTTGTATTCGAGATTAAACCCCTAGTTTATGTCATCGAAGTGACTCGTGACGCACGTTATTATTCAAATTTGACAAATCTAAACCGTATTTGCATAAAAATGCTTTGAAGTTCGATACCATATGTAATTTGTATAATTGAAGATAGATAAATCCAAAATATGTATAACTTTGCAACATTCTTTATGTGTCATAATACTGTAGGAAGTAGCTCCAACTGACGCAACTACCGAAACACTTATAGGTTAAGGAATTGTAATGTCCCGTTCAGAAGCGTTGATTTGCTTCAGTGAAATTAAATGAAATGCCTATTCTTTCAAAATTAACTTTAGTGAATATTAGCGAAAACGCCTATCCAAAGATGCGTACAAATTCAGGCTGATTCCTTCCTGTCTACAGATACTTAACCGAAACTGCATTAACCGCAGATGAATAGCCGTGTGGGGGAAGGAATTACGTAAAGAATCATGAAAAACCAACAAACCGGCGATAGATAGGGTGACAAACCTCTTGTAAAGATTGATTTCTTCGTAGCAAACGTCACCGAATCGCCGATTGGTTGAATTTTCACGGCCCTTTACGTCATTCCCTCTGCCCACACTCACTGTTGCACTGCGGTTGATAAAGTGCCAGTTGAGTATCTACAGATAAGAAGGTATTTGAAAGCCTCAGATTGTACCTGTCCTTGGACGGGTGTTTCGTCAATTTCAGATATTTTCTGATCTCATCACCTGATTATTCAGAAGGTTATTTTCTTTATATACTGTCCTTGCTCGGGTACTAAGCTTTAATGTGAGCCCACTCCCACTTCCTTTACGTTCAGTGAAAGACGAAAGAGTTCGACGGGTTAGGTGAATTGTATATAAAATGCCGAAAATTTAGACAAGGTTTGGATCGATTTATTCCACAAATACAGAAATCTGAATACAGTTCGGGCTTTTAATTAACTTTAATCCGTGTAAGCCGCTCTACTTTGTCATACTTGACTACCCCAGGGCAAGAAAACCGGTACCGTGCAATCTTGTCTACTTACGATCTACTAATTCGTGATGCCTCCCGTTGCCCCTCTGTCTAATCATCTTGCTCAGATTTTCCAATTCATAGTTTTAACCGACCGGGCATTCTTATTAAGACAATCGACATATGTCAAAACCACCTGGGTGTTGACGACGGGACAATATTCAAAAGTAACGCTCAACAAAAGATCACATAATATCAATTTAATTTTTAGATAAATTCTTAATAATCAGTTTGAACTAAGTTGTACTAAAATTTAACCCTTAGTACCTGAAATGCGACTCACAATTACCATTCGGTTTAATACAACAATTTTGTATAAGTATTTTTTATCTGAATTTATACGTGGGGTAACTCAAAAGAAACCGAACTTATTTGTTTTCTAACTTATTTATTGCCATTTGACAATCTCCCTCAAAGTACTCTCTACTTGCACTAATACATTCGTTTAATATTTTTTTCCATTTTTCAAAATATTATTTAAATTCATTTTTTGTGATGCTTAATAGCCCCTCCATCATCTTTTTCTTCATCTCATCATCATCAAAACGCTTTCGCTTCATATGACAATTCTTGATAGAAAATTTAGTTTCTCTTGGGTATTCCCAAGGTACGTGTGATATGTACAAGTAGTAAAACAAACAATAGCGAAATTTAATAATAGAAGAGTAATAATTTCAAAAAATTCATCAAACTGTTCAATTAGAAAGTATAGGAAAGTATTGAAAAGTATTGCTACTTACCAACAGCAAAAATACAGTACAAAGGGTTAATAATATATGAAGCATTATTTATAACTCATATTTTTCTGAATTGCAGGTAACTTGGTAACAGTGATCGCACTGTTAAAATACACAAGACTAAGACGACATGCCACGACTGCATTCGTTATAAGTCTCAGCATCTCAGACCTGATTTTTTCTGCCGTAAATATGCCACTGACTGCAAGCAGATATTTAAACGAGGCGTGGGTGCTTGGTGATACTCTATGCAAAATATTTCCGCTGTTCTTCTATGGGAACGTGGCAGTATCTTTGCTTAGTATGGTGGCGATTACAATAAATCGGTTTGTAATTTAAAATTCATTTTTCCTGTAAACTAAGTTTTTAAAATTTTAGTAACTTATAATATTTCGATAGCGTGTCCAGTTTCTTTATTAAATTAAATTGCATTAATTTTAATACTAATTCTAACGTTTTTGAGGCTTCTAAGGTGACGATTTGTATAACGCTTTGTACACCTTGCATGATACTTATCTTATTTTAAAATACGTTCTCGAAATACATTTTTACAAACTTTATGCAATTGATTGAATCATGTATTAATCATTTAAATAGTATCATATATATGCATGATGAATATGATACTAGTAATTTGTTCTTCTTCTCAAGTGATGTACTTCTGCAGACTAATGCTTTTATTTAAGTGTTAGTAATACTTTTTATTTAAATTTTGCTAAAATTCACATGCATGCAAGAAAAACTAATATGATCGATCTTGTGTTTCAATAATTTTACTTCAAATTAAAGCTTTCATATTTTAAAAATGAAACAAGTAGGCCTGGGAATTTGTTAAATGGGAATCTGAAAATCTAAAGATTGGGAAGTTTGAAAACTCGTTAATTTATAAGTTTCAAAATGTAGAAAAGATCTTGCATAATATTGAGTTGTCATATTCGCTTCGTTCTCTTTGCACGGTGACGTTAACATCGTTTTCCGACCTGTTGCTAACTTGATATACGAGGTGCGATCATTAAGTTCCGGAACTAGTCCCGCAGATAAAGTCACCTGTTTCAAATTTGGCTACTATCCCCTTCAAAGTAGGTGCAGCTATGCACCGATCCCAGAGCCTCTGCCATTTTTGGAAAGCTTCCTACAAGTCTTCTTGTTGAAGCGTGTCAAGCACCTGCTGCGATTTGCGTTGAATCTCGTCCACGGTGTCAAATCGGCGACCCTTGAGCGTTAATTTCATTTTGGGAAACAAAAGGAAATAACAGGGTTCCAAATCTGGTGAATACGAGGAAGGGCGACCATTTTCCATGTTTCTTTTTTTTTATGTCCCTTTGTTCCAACTTGGAGTTCATCGTGATTTCGTAAAGGAGAGCGTGCGCATGCTACCATAAGCTTGTATAACACAGAATTGAATGAAGATATCGCTTCCAAACTTCGTGTCATATGTCTCGAAGATTGTTATTCTTATGTTCTGCGAGCGCATGTCAATCGTGTGATCCGTTTGGTCACAGCAGACACAATCCCGGAACTTAATGATCGCACCTCGTATTCAATATTAGCATTTTAAAAATTATATTTTGGCAATTATTTTCGTGCATATTTCTAGTACTTTTTATAAAATGTTAATCATGTCAGGAAATAAAAAATATTTCTGTCGTATCTTTTTTTATTTTCAAAAAAGTAAAAACGCATTTTAGATGCTATATGTGCATCTCGCATCGCGTTAGATATCCCGTTACTGCAATAGTAGATAAAATAGGGAAAATGATTGATAGTGACTGTCAGTTGATAACGACTGAGATTAATCAAACACTAAACATCACTGCATCACTCTTTCGGGACATTTAAGTTAGTTTAGGATAGTCAACAAACAAAAAAACGAAAAATGATATTATCATCATTTGATAAGCATATAAAACGGAACAAATATTTACAATTCAATACAACGTATAGGGAAAAACTGACCTAGTCAATTTGCTTCGTTCTGAAGCAAATATGTTGTAGTATTTATAATTCCAAACAAATTCATTCTATATTATAATCACTAAAAATAGAAGGGTTAAGGAAAATGGAGTTCTGAAGTCAGAATTTCAATGTACTGAAATCTATTTTAAATAAATATATGTCTTCTTCTCTATTTCGTAGGTTTATATGCATATCTTGTTAATATTGGGTGTAGTGTGTGTGTATGTGTGTGGGAGAACGTATATGCGTATGAGCATAAACGCATACACAATTACCAGTTTTAATAAGTACATTAATATCTATAGAATCGTACACAAGCAAATATTTATATTATACATATAACATAATATAAATTTCGATACAATATTTACATACATTATACGTCAACACACACACGCATTTATACACGACATTATCATATACATATATGCACACAATTTAGAAATTTGAAAAATGTGGAAACTTAAGAATAATCATTATTTATAAAAGTAGGCGTAATTAGGAAAAATATATCATACAGTCTCATTTTATGACTACAGGGTTGCATATTTATTAGCCCTTCGATTTGTTGCAGTCAAAGAGTAATGTATGGAATTTTAACAATTACAACATATTTCAGAACGAAGCGATTAGATCATAATCATTTTTCTTCGATAATTTAGAAATATAGAGTATTGGAGGTTTAAAAATACAAAAATGTGGAATCTCAGGGATTTGGAAATTTTAGAATTTGAAAATTTAGGAAATATAATTGTAATAAGTAATATCTGAAAATATTTATTTAAAAATTTAAGAATTTGTGGATGTGGCAATTTGAAAATATTCGTTGTTAATAATTCGGTAACTTGGAACTTTGAAAATTAAAAAAATTAGAAATTTGAAATTTAGGGATTTGAAAATTCGAAAATTTTAAAGAAAGTAGTAAAATGATTTCCTCTTTAAAAATGGAATTTTATGCACACTAAAATTTCAAGTATGGACGACATTATAATTCCACATAATTTACACTAGTTAATGCAAAAGGAATCTTCTTCATTATAAAAATATAATCTTCTTTATATAACAAGTTTGCAAATTAGCACATCATGATGCACCACTTTTTGATTTTGATGAATTTAGCTCCGATACTACACTCGATTAAAAAATTTTAATTAATATTTGAAATATTTGGAATATTTACTATACATACAATGTACTAAATGTCACCATTTTAAACGGCTTTTGTGGAAACTTCAAATTGAACTTTGTATATTTCACATCTGACCAACGTTATGATTATGCTATATCTGGTTCACAACTATATCTACTACTTCTAGAGTGAAAAATTATTTTATATAAAAATAAATCTATAAAGTTTTTGAAATAATTACAAATGTTAGGAAAGAACTTTCGAATATCAGTAGATACATGCAGTACATGGTGAAGTGATAACAGCTAAATTGTATGTGGAATGTACCCTTGGCAAAGACCAGGTATATAAATTAAATATAGAATATACAGGATTTCTCTAAAATCTGACCCCACATCGTTAGTGTTCATATTACTCAAATTGTTCCGCACGAAGTTTACACGATTAAATTTACGCCATTTACTATGTGTCAACTTTGAAGTTTCATATCATGGAAATGACTTGTTTAAAAAACAAACGTAGGTAACATTTTGAGAACACCTCGTTGAAGGTTACAAGAATATGCAATAAAAAATGGTTCTATTTAACAAACTGAACATATCATCCACGTGCATTTTAAACGATCATTCAAGGTTAACTGGTTGCCACCCTCTTACGGCCTCTTTAATATCCTACAACTTTTGTCTGAAGTATTTATCCATATTTATTCCTTTCTGAAGTATAAGGGTGAGATCGAACCTAGAGATACCCTGTATATGTATATCTAATTATTCAGAGCAGTACATCGACACATTGCATATCGTATTGATAGCGATAACATTTTTTATATGAAAGTTCCGATTATTATATATTTTTTAACCGTCAGCAAACAGGTACATAAATACCAACTGTTCATACTGTTATTTTTTATTTTTTCCGTATTCGTATATGTGTTTATATCCAATATCTTCTTCTTTTATTACTTTTATTCGTGTTACTTTATTTACATTTATTCGTGTTAAAATAATACTATTTCATGTAGAACTGTTTTTACAGTAGTAAATTTTTCATAATAATGCCTGCATTATGGATAAAACCCGCAAGTGGATAGAATTGTTACTGCTCGGGTGATTTCGGTATTGATCATTATTGTTAAAGTTCGCAAAAATAAATAATTAATGGCCATAGTCCTCATTAATGTGGGTAAAATCGACATTGCTCAGTACTAGGTGTGTGGTGTAACTAATACATCTCAAACAAAAAATTCCATATTCTATTATTTTGACTAATCGAAATGAACAGGTACATTTATTGCAATGTTACAATATAGTACATTGTTCATTTTGTTACAGTACATTTTTTTTTAACCATAATATGTCTAATTGAAGATAAAAATTGAATATTTAAATAAAGTATTTTTATATTGTACAAGAAAATACAATTATTTAATATTTTTATATTCTGTCTTTTTTATTTACAATTCTAAATACATAAAAAAACAGTACCTATTGAGTATGACTAGGCATGACTGAATATGACAATGACTGAAATTAAGATTTTCACTCAATCACTAATAGAGTACCTAAACACAGAAATACGTAACGCACACTTATATCCACATCCACTCTTATTCTAGAAAAAAGATTTATGTGATATGTAGTGAAACATTAAAATCTGGAGAATGTCGAATTTCACCAGTGAATGTCAACATTCACATAGTCGCTTGGTATATGTCCGAAATATTTACTAAATACCCTTATTTCTGACTTACACCGGTAAATGTGGACATTTACCATGCACTAATGGTGAATGTTGAACACGTCGGAGATTTAACCTAACCACTTCAGAAAGTATTTTAGACTTTATGTACCTTTCTTGAGAAAAATAAAAACAATTGTCTTCTCATTTACCCGCAATTAATGCATTTAACATTTCAAAAAAAAAATCACGATTTACTGCGGTATCCAGTTAGTATAAATTACGATATCGGAAAAAAAAATTAAGAAAACGTTGCTCGCATCATCAAAGCTTGCATATGTAGGGATTTATTGGTTCTTTATTAATTGTATGACCTATTAATGTTTATAATTATCCCTTGAAATGTGAATGGAGTGAATGAGGGTTGAAAGTGGTGACGAGTGTTCGTTGAAAAACGCATGAATGCCGTGAATGTTCAATTAATTTATAACCAGTCTTATGTTATCCTCGAACTATTAAAAACGTGCGTGTAAATTAATTAAATATTTAAATATTGATTCGTTA